CTGGAGCCCGGGAGGGGAAGCGCCCAGCCGGGGGCGCAGGGTCTGGAGGCTGCCCGGCAAACCGTGAAGCCAGTAGCGCTTGGGCTTCGGACAGCTCCTATGCCTCCGGACCCTGCGCCGCTGGAGCCCGGGAGGGGAAGTGCCCGGCCGGCATTTTCCCGGACATGTCCGGCTTTTCGGCAATCAAACCCCCATCCGGGGGGAATTGCCAAAAAGCCGAACATGTCCGGGAAAATGCCGGCCGGGCACTTCCCCTCCCGGGCTCCGGCGGCGCAGGGTCCAGAGGCATGGGGGCTGCCCGAAGCCGGTAGCGCTCGGGCAGCTCGGCTCTTAAACAGAGCCGAAGAGTCAGGGGAGGAGCAGATCAGCCGCGGGAGGGGAAGTGCCCGGCCGGCATTTTCCCGGACATGTTCGGCTTTTTGGCAATTCCCCCCGGATGGGGGTTTGATTGCCGAAAAGCCGGACATGTCCGGGAAAAACCGGACGTATGGTAACCCTATTTAATGGGCACTGGATTAGGCCCTTTAGTTTCAATGATGGGTGTTTACATAGATCGTAATTAAGGCGGGCATGTGTGCAGACTGCTCTGGATGAAAGTGCTCTTTATAAAGTCATTTGTTATCAACTAAAACACAGCAAAAATTCTGTTGAGTTTACTGAGTCTGCAACCAGTTTATATTTTTCTGGTTCATCTCCAACTGATCTAGTATACTGCCAATTCATTCAATTGGGTAAATCTCACAAGAAGGTACTGGACATGAAGCCTTACTGAAAAGAACTCTGGAGTTTTTAAAGCTGTATGTTGTCTGCAGAATTGTTTCTTGCACTTGGGCTTGTTTTATTTGTTAGCAGGGTCCTTCTCCCCCTCCCCTTTTTCTTCTTCTTTATTATTTTGAGCCTCGTACAGTAATATAAAATGACAGCCCTTTGGGTCTGATTTTCAGAGGTGCTAAGTGTCCACAGTCCCCACTGAAGTTAATGGGACTTGCTCAGCACTTCTAAAAATCAGGGCTTTTGTTATTTTAGTTTCCTTTGAAATGATCTAGGATAATTTTAAGTTTGTATGAATAATTTGTAATGTGAAATAAACTTTACAAATACCCCAAAATTGTCTTAGAAGGCATTGGGATTGCATAGGGTGTAATATCGACACAGAATCTGCTCTTCTGTTTTTTTAGATAGTTAATGGATGGCAATGGAATTTCAGTCTCTGAAGAAATTTGAGAGCTACACACATTTCACAGCATTCTAGAGATGTTTTAAAAAAAATCAGAAATGATAAAATGTTAGCTTTGTGGAACATGGTTTTGAATGAAATTAAACACCAAAGGTATGTCTAGAAGCTACTAGACAACTGCAGCTGGCCCAGGCCAGCCAACTCAGGCTCACACGGCTTGGGCTGCTGGGCTGTTTACCTGCAGTGTAGATGCCCAGGCTTCTAGGACACTGCAAAATGGGAGGGTCCCAGAACTCCAGCTGCAGCCGGAGCCCAGAAATCTACACTGCAATGAAACAGCCCTGCAGCCCAAGTCAGCTGGCATGGGCCAGCCGTGGGTTTTTCTTTGCAGTCGTAGACTAGTTCACCTGAAAGGGTATAGTGAGATTTTTCTCTAGTGTGCTTCGTGCAGTTTCTATGTTAAACACAAGAGGGTGTTAAAAGATCAGTAGTCTCAGCAGTCAAATCTAATAAGAGAGTAGCACATGTCAACAAAAAGAAATCTATATAATCCACAGTTTCCTAAACTGCAGAGGTCTAAGGGAGATCGGGGAATGTGTAAATAACTAATTTAGAAAAAGGAGATTCAATAAAATTAAAATAATTTTAACAATCAATATATGACATAAGCCCTATAATGGTGTGTCTCTTTAAAGACACCACATTGCTGGAACCTGAGAACCTCATGGCAAATGTAGACTCGTGCAAGATTTGACTGAGGACAATGCCTCTGCTAATTAAACAGTATTAAATCTGTACCCATGCTTGGGTTTGCTTTCCACTGAACAATAAAAACTATATTAAAAACCTTATTACAAAAAACATGAAGTATAAGTATTCATTCAAAACATATCATTAACTGGAACACTGGATGTGCTGGCTATATTGCTGTAGGTTAAAGACACTACTGAGTCTCTCAAAAAACATGTTGCATATGTTGTTTATACTTTCTTGGCGCTCAGGTCTGGCTGAGAAGTGATTTGGAAAGGAGGATTGTTTTGTGCAAAAGATTGTGGCAGGCAGGGCCGTCCCTACCTATTCTGGGGTCCTATGCAGCCCCCCCATGGGGGGAGGGCGGGGCTGGCTTGGGGGACAGAGGGGAACCACCCCCCAGCACTCACTGGCAGCGCAGCTGGGGCCAGGCCACTGCACTTCCCGCTGCCAGTGAGTGCAAACCCGGCCCTGCAGCAGTCCTCAGCCCCGTCCCCACTCCTCTGAGACGGAGCAGGGGTGGAAAGAGGCGGGGCTGGGGCGGAGCAGGGGTCGGGGCCATGGGGAAGAGGTGGGGCAGAGGCTGGAGCAGCATGCAGCTGTGCAGGGCACTAGGAAATGTGATGCCCCAAATTTCCTGGTGCCCTAGGCAGCTGTGTACTTTGCATATGGGTAAGGACGGCCCTGGTGGCAGGACTCAAAAGAAGAAAGAAAATGCATGAATGTGATGACAAATATAAGATATATGGTTTTACAGCAATTGCGCAGTGTTTTGAAGTGTTGGCTGCTGAGAATACAAAGCATTTTAAGTTACTGCAACATTTAGAAATCCATCATCCGCAAGTGAAAGAAATGTCTGAGGATTTTAAAAAAATGAAAAAGTACCTAAAAATTAACAAGATTCAACTACTCAAACTGGCTATGTCAATATGAATGCCCTTCTGCCATCATATGGTATCTCCATGAAACATTCACCAGTGTTAAGATTTTCTGCAGTGGTATGAACCTATCTTTCTTTGCGCAACAGATGTGATTGTAAAGTTAGAGCCAGAAAAAGCGACCAAACTGAAAGCAAGGCCATTGTCAAATAACTCCATGTTGTTGCCAAAAGTTTTACAATGGAGGGGGGATCCTAAAATCTGGCCCCATTTTAAGGATGGAGGACAATATGCTGCAAAGCTGTAATCAAAGCATCACACACACATTCTAGAGGGAAAAAAAAAGTTCTTTACCTTGGCTCCCTCCAAGAGTTGCTAGTCTGAAAGCTTCTTTAAGAGTTAAGCCTGTATTGTTCACTTTATTGAGTAGAAGGGTATTAGATGCAGACATCGTTCTCCTGATAGCATCAAGCATAGAAGATGAATACCCACCAGCAACATCTACAATAGATCAAAATCTTAAAAATTAGCTTTTGGGGATAATAATCTGGGTGGAAATTGTATGAGTTTTAATTTAATGTTACAGAATGGCAGACAAGATAAATAGAGAAAGGTTCATCATTATGCCCAGTCTTCAATGAGTCTATTGCCTAATTCCTAAAGAAGGTTTTTATATGTGCATGAACATCTCTATAAGTATAATACAGATCACATGCAGAATAATATAGATTATTTTCCTACAATCTAGAAAATAATTCCAGACCCCACTCCAGTTCTTTTTTGACTAGTGGAACAAAACTATCTTCTTTCACTTTCAAAACATTTCTCTAAAATTTTTTTGACCCATTCTAGATGCAAAGTAATGGAAAATCAGGCCCACTGGTTGGGAGCATGTTAGTGCTTTAACATGAATATGTGGCTAGCCATTTGTGCACTAAATAGGCTCTCAATAAGTGATTCTACAGTAAATTACTAACCTGTGCCAAGACCAAGCTTCACATTGTGCTTCAGAACATTTTGTACGTTTAAAATGCCACTGCACAACCTGGATTGGAAAGAAACAGATCCTCCATGACAAACACAGAAAAAGACTAAAGGCTCATTCCTGCATTCAAGCAGTATGTGGAGGGGAGGGAGAGGTTGCCTTAGTGACGACAGAAGAAGAAGGCCCTAAAACAGTTCCATGGCAATCTCTCTTCAGTATACAAAACACTTCCCAAAATGTATGTAGCGCAGAGGTGGGCAAACTACGGCCCGCGGGCCCTAGTCCTGCCCAGCCCGTGAGCTCCCGGACAGGGAGGCTAGCCCCCGGCCCCTCCTCCACAGAGCCCTGCCGCCGGGGGGCAGCACTCTGAGCAGCGGAGCTGCGCATTCCTGCTGAGCAGAGCGGCAGGCCGGTAGCCAGACACGCTGCTCTGCATGCTCTGCTAGGCGTGGTAAGTGGACTGGGGTTGGATAGGTGTGGGGTCTCAGGGGGCCTGTCAGGCGGCGGGGGTGTGGATGGGGTCAGGGCAGTCAGGGGACTGGGAGCAGGGGGGTTGGATAGGGGCTGAGGTCCCGGGAGGGGGCGGTTAGGGGTGGGGGGTCCCAAGAGGTGGCTGTCAGGGGACAGGAGCAGGGGGTGTGTGTGGATGGGTCAGAGGTTCTGAGGGGGGCAGTGAGGGGGCAGATAGGGGGTGGGGGCCAGGCTGTTTAGGGAGGCACAGCCTTCCTTACCCGGCCCTCCATACAGTTTTGCAATCCCAATGTGGCCCTTGGGCCAAAAAGTTTGCCCACCCCTGATGTAGCGGATGACGCCTACACAATAGAAATAAAAAAATTGCGTTCATAAACCTGAATTATAAAACCTTGATCATTAAAATGATAAAGTAAAATTAAAATAAAAACTCAGTATGCCACTTTTGTAGTCTTGTATTCATTGAGTGCCTCACTTACTGAAACGCAGGGCCTTAATATATTCAGGAAGGAAGACAGCAAAGAAGGCCAAAAATCAAAAGCAGAGATGAAGAAATGTAAATTACAAACTGGCCGTGTGTAACTTAATGCCATAAATGATTCAACTGAGCAGTTAGGGAAGGTTCCATAGCGGTTGAAAGGTGGTTGATGGGGATTACAGGGTGTCAGGCGAACTGACATGATTGCTTGGATACTTGGCATGTCACCAGGGACTGTTTTGGGGCTAAGACTGGTGACCACAGCTCTCCAGAGACCCCATGAAGGGATGATGGTTACATTACACAAGAGGGCAGGAGCTAGAGGAGAGTAAGTGGTGGGAGAAGCAACTGAGGAGACTATGAGTTAAGGCAAAGAGGGGGGCTAAATTCCCTGCTTCTTTAATTTACATGACTTCCAGCATTTGGCATGAAAATAATACCAATAAAATAAGACTTCTTTAGGGCCTGAGTTTGATCTTGCTTACACCCATGTAAGTCAGGAGTAAATACACTGAAGTCAATAGGAGCGGCTGAGTGCTTTTGAAAATCATGTCACTTATTTAGGTGCCTAAATAAAGACTAAGAGCTTAGCTTTAGGCTTCCATTTTTAATATCTTGGCCTTCTTTCATATATAATGTGATATGTTGATGTAGAAAGTCAAGATGGTTGATTTATTAATATGAAAAATAAAAACAAAATCCATTTTATGATAAAATCTGTTTCAGGAGAGCAGTTGAAACAAATCTGAGATTCCTTATGGAGCCAATTAATTGAGGCTACTGGGTTGCATGGCTTGTCTAGTTCTAGGAAAATTATGCAACACTCTAATGTAAACCCACTGCACTAGAGCAAAATGGGTCTTGACCCATGTGACTTATCTTGGTAACACGCACTGACAGTGTTCCCAGGGGAAGTCACACCTGTGAAAACCCTAACGTAAACAAGCATGGAACTAGAGCTGTGCAAGAACTGGAATTTCTGTTTCATGGGCAATTCCATGATTTTGAAATCTGTTTTCAGTCCAAATAAGAACACAATCAGAAAACTGAGAAATTTCCTGTAAAGTATTTTTTTTGTTTTGGAGTCAAATGTTTAGTTCAAATGTTGATATTTTTATATTATAATATACAATAAATTTTGAAACAAAAGGTTGTTTTGAAATGAGACATTATAACATTCTATTCCAATGAGAACGTGGTCAGAATGCTTTGGGGTTTTTTTTTGTTTGTTTGTTTTTTTAAATCAACACATTTCAGGAAGCCTCAATTTTGACAAAACAGCATTTTTCAAATGAAAAATGTTCCATTGGGAAAATTTTGATCAACTCTACAAAACACAAACCTCATTAATCTAAACAACCCCTCAGTATGCAACATTCTTCCCTTGTACCTTCCCCAAACTGCTTGGCCATGTCAGCTGGGTGCTATTCAGTCCTACAAGGAATATGTGGAGAGAGTGAGGGAACAATAGATGGGGATTTCCTGTAAACCAGAAGTGAGAGTGGGGGTTTCTGCTAAATCTGTCATCTGCTTCAACAAGGGCAATGTACTAAAAGGGGAGATATCCCAGTTCTTACAGTTCAATTATGACCAAAGAGCTCTGTCAGCACAAAGCAGTTCCTGTTCCACATCATGCAGCAATGGAACATGAGCGAGTACTCCTCACTCCAGTGCAGGGGTAGTCAGTAGGCGGACCGCGAGCCAAATCTGGACTGCCAAAGGACCCCAAAATCTTTTTATTTACTTATAATCATGATTATTGGTGGTGTTTTATTATTTTATCTGGAATCTGGACCTTGACTATACCTTGACCAAGAAATTTGGACCTTGACCAAAAATAATTGACTACCCCGGTTGCCTATGGTCCTATAAATCATGTCATTTAGTCACTGCAGGTAGAATTTACACCACTGAATCACAGCCCTGCCTATTGTATCCCATTAGCTATTTCTTTACTTACGAAAAATTTGAATTGGGGCAATGGGCAATTGCAGCTCCTCGAAGACTAAAAAGTTTCAGCTCTTCGTCAGAGAGATGACAGCCATGGGCCATCACAGTCTAGAGAGAAACAACAACACAGAAATTAGTTTTTTTTGCCTGTGAATTTATTATTATTTTGTTTTTATTATCCACAATGCCATTTCCCATTGTCAGAGGTGAAGTGTGTATTAAGGACCTGATCCAAGACCTATTGAAGTCAGTGGAAACCTCCCATTAACATCAATGAGCTTTGAATCAGGCCTTAAATAATTAAGCACTTCCCTTGGCTTTCTCTCCTTGCTTTAGAGGAAAAATAGTGGAGCTGATTCTTGCTCTGGCTCTATTGTAACTGTCACACAGGAGCCACAAGGGACTGGGCAAGAATTCCCCAGGTGCATGAGCAGTGTAGGTCTGATTTAATCACCCTTATGCTGCCCCTCACAGGTCTTGAGATAGGGAATATGCTGGGGTACACTGAGGACAAGGGGATAGCACTAAACACTACAGAGATTCTGGGTTATTTTCTAGCAACAACTTGTTTCCTGCAATCATGTCTTATATTTTGCACAAGAATGTTGACTCTGGAATGTTTTTAAATTAGTTTGGTGTGGAAATTTTTTTATTTTATTTTTTAGCCTCCTACAATGTGGATTTAAAAAACACAATTTCTTAACATATATATATATATATCTATATATATAGAGAGAGAGATATATAAAGATCCTATACCTGTATGCTTTGTTATTTAACAGGGACATAAACCCAGTACTCTCCAACCAGCAGTCTGACATTTCAAAATATAATAAGTATCTTTTCCTTTCCCCAAATAAATCTGTTATTTTTTTAAGTATTTGGCGTCATCTTTAGAATGATCAGATTTCCTGGAGGAGCCAAACGGTTATACTGTCCATTTCACTGTTTTAGAACACAGTATGTTAGAGTGCCCAAACTATTAAAATTGCTTTTCTAATTTGGGTAAAGGGCTTGCGGCATTTTGGATCACAGTAGAAGTGTGTTGATGAAGTATTTGTCTATCACACACTATTTTATGACTGAGGCATGCCACCTAGCCTGTGAAGGTGTCAGCATCTACAAATATAGTAAAAGTTCTGGACAGTGATATTTTGCATGGTGAGTACTCAAGATTTACATGGGCTTCAACTCAACAGAAAACTTAAGCATATTCTTAACTTGAAACACTTGAGTAATTCCACCTGGGTAGTCCCATTGGAGTCATGGGCTGGATTCTCTCTTCTGCAGAGTCTACCTTGCACCACAAAAATATGCCAGATGCCCCCTCAACACCTGGTGTAGGAGTGACAGTGGCTATGGCAGAGTGGAACTCTGCTAGGCCCAATCTTCTGCTGACAAATAAGTTACAGCTGTTCCCTTGAAGCCCTAACTTGCACAAGGGCCATTTGGCTCAGGACTCCCGAAATTCAGACTCGGTCAAAAATCCAGCCCAATGGGACTGGTCACATTTAAAGTTAAGGACATGCATAAAGTTCTCTCGGGTCTTAGAGAAGAAAAACCCTTCATCTCCAAACCTGCAAATGTGTGTTTTGAAATGTTGGCATTACTTGTTAAGAAGTAAAACACAATGACGTGATGTTTTAGAAATTTTTACTCTTTAGTTATGATTAGTTTTAAAGGAACAATTTATAAAGCAAGGACTCTTGTGTCAGAAAGCACTGTTTGGTTCCTAGATTTTCCATAGGAATGTTCAGTGCTTTACATAACACACAAGAGGGCAGGGATATGTACTTTAGTAAGTCCTGTTTTATCATTAGTCAACCTTGATCTGTGGTATTGTCAGGGGCATAACAGCTTATTGTGCATAGACTTTATCACTGTATGATAAGGGTAGTAATATTGCATTATAAACTAGTAATTTTTATATTTATTTGTCTAATAAAAATGCTATGTAGATGTGTACACTTGGAGGAGCCTTTCCAAGGCACAAAGTTCAGTGCCTCATTCCCAATGACTTCCCAACTGCCCTTTTTACCTTGGAAATCCCCCCCTAAGATTTTAAATGTTTGACAATTTTAAGAAACGTATGCATATTTCTCCCCCAAATTTACATGTTAATATAAACCTAATAGTAACACTAAACACAACTGTATTCACTGATAAAGCAGAAGTTAACATTGCGCCCTTAAAATATGGTTTGGAAAACACCACACACCCAAGATGTGTGTGGAAAAATTGGAGATTTATATTAGTTCAAACACACACGTATATAAACAAGTTTTCATACAACAGATTAGGAATTCGTAAACTTGATTTGAAATATCTTGAAATTGCATGTCTACTACTCAGTGGGGGGGGGAGTGGGGGTGTGATTTCTAAATAAAAATTTGAAATGTGCAATTCATAGAATTTTAAAATGAAGTGGATCATACACAAGTCAATAGGCCAAATCCTCAAGCAGCAGAAAGGGGTAGGAAAACTACAATAGCAGGGTAGCTGGAGATTTATCTGGGGAAATCCCCAGAGGCTGCATAGTCAGTTCTAAACCATCTGCTCCTGTCCTTTCCCCACCCAACTTCTCTAGGGGGCCATTACAAACCAGATTGGGAGCACAAATTGTCTTTACCTTTGTCCTCTCCTAAAGAGTGCTGAGCAGAACTCGGGCACACCTGAATATTTAAAGCTTCTATTGTCTGTAATCAGTAACTATCCCTATAGTAAATCATATTTACATTATCTTCTCTCAGATTTCATTGCATCTCCTTGGATGTACAGCAATGCAACTCGTTCAAGCTTGAGGACAGTGAATAAAATTCACCAGTATATTGTCCATATTGATAAATCTCATAACTTATACTATAGAATATTCCTTAACGCTACCTTGCTTGTAAGTAGCTTGGTTTTATCATATAAATCAGTATAATTTTTATAGTTAGGAAACATTTGCTCCACAAGTTTGATTTCTCCATCATTCTCGCTTATATGACTCTGTAAGGGGGAAAAAAACAGTAATCAGTATTTGCTTTTTTATTTAGATTTAAACAATAAAAACTGACCACACAAATACTCTGGGTGGCCTAACAGTTAACTAGACTTGCAACTGTGATGCTGGCAGATCAGGTGTCAGCTCATGCCCAAGCCTCAGTGAACACTGACAAATAGATAGCTGGAACCCAGTCTGGCTTACCTGTGTATTAGCATTGTTAAGATAAATACTAGAGTGGTAAGTATGTGTTTGGTGTCTAGGTCTTATGAATAGTGCAGGATGCTGCACGTATTAATCTCATTCATAACCTCTGTAGTACATGCTTTGCATTGTAAACATCTGTAATTGTGTAACTCACTGAACAGGTAAGAAGCATTAGTTAGTGTAAAGTGCTGGTCATGCAGATAAGAGGGCCTTTGAAACCAAATGAGACATTGTAATACTTCACAATGTCAAATACTTTATTTGCCCTCCCCACTCATATGAAGAGGAATCAGGGGCCAACACTTGTTCTATCAGTTTGGACTGCGAGGAAAAGGGGATGAAAATCCCTGATAAGGAGAAACTGGATCTTTATGCTATCTGGAGGTTGAGGAGCAAAATTCCTTTAACCAGAGCCGTCCCTAGGGTTGCCATGCCAGCTCCTTTCAGCTGGCTAAATTCACAATCCCAGCAGCCGGACTCGAACTCTCAGCCTCCCTCCGGAAAGGTAAAGCAGCTGCATTTCCACTAGTTAGTTTTGCTTTCCTAGTGCCTGGTGGAGAGCAATACTTAGATAAAGACAAGTTGGCAAAAGCTTAGTTTGGACATAAGGGAGGCACTGATAGTGTGTTAAGGGAAAGTGGGGGAAGTGATTTGTCCTTCCTATCCTTTCATTTAAAAAGTTTTCAATTTGGGGTGCTGCTGGATCCTCAATGACACCTGGAAGTACAGGTGGCACCAGGTCACTGGTGGTTGACAAATGTTAAAGCAGCACTTTGGACCAGTGGGATAAGGGGAGAGGTGCCAGACCAACACAGACTAGACCCAGGTTCAGGGCATCACAAAGGACACCTTTGCCCCCATTAGTCTTCCTCTGATCTGCTGTGTACTCCTCTGGTGTGGCTGAGAATCTCGTCCACTGTCTCTGGAACATATGTTTCCAATATTTACAAATATCCCTTCTTGTAATGTTAAATAATGCAAACGTAGTTTGAATGTAGTATCTAATTAAGACTATGTAACCAAAAAGTGTCTCCCAGCTTTAACACAGCTGTAAGCTTTAAAAAGCACTTTAATTCTAAATTGCAGTTACTTAATGACACAGTAAGATGCACTTCTCTTTTAACTATGTTAAATTAAGATGCTTTGAATACAAAGGCTCATTCTTTTCTGTGCTGAGATCTGTTTTGTGCAGGAAAAATGAGGAGCCGTTGGTTATAGTTCTCCAGGATGCTCTCACCTATGCCAGAGCTGGCACAGGCATATAGCAGCAACATTAAACAAACAACTGGTTATGGTCCCAAAGACCATGCACCAGCTGGCGTTGCTGAAGCACACAGTGATCCAGCTATGACCCCTCTGCCCACTCCCTGACCTGGAGAGTGCAGGGGGCTGGCAACTTCAGTGGAATTTAAAGACTGGCTCAAAGTTAAGTATGCAAATTAATTGTTTTGCTGAATTGGGCAGTATGACAGATATGCCAATTTCCTGCAATATCTTTGGGAGATCTTATTGAATTAAGTTTACGTATCTTTGAAGTCCGTTGTGTTAAATGCAAAGGTGATGTATGTAAGGGCCTCACTGATCAATGGACTACACCGAACAATGTGGGAGACAAGAATGAACTTTTGGGAAAATGCATGTGAAGTGGATTTCCTGGGAAATAGCTAGGGGGAAGTTAATGCAAATCCCCACCCCTGCCTCTGGTTATGCAAAATCCCAGCCCTGTGAAGCTATGCCCTGAAGAGAGAGAGACTGTCTGCTAATTACCTGTTCCCAGGGTCCCAAGCTTAAAGACCCAAACTGTATAAAGGAGTGACTCACACATTTATAGGTGTGCTCGTTCTGAGCTAACAGCTGAAAACCCCTTGGTGGGGTTTGAAGAACTGACCACTGGCCAGACCCTGTGTTGGGGAAGGGGTCTGATCTTCAGTAAGCTTATCAGGTTCATGTATTGTTTTAATATGTTTTCCTTGTAATGCTTTTACCTTAAGAATAAATGTGCTTGCTTAGAAAGGGCAATTGGCAACTTCTAACTGTGTGGAATTACACTGTATATAGCCTTGGAGAAGAAATCAAAGCAGGCCTGGTTAGGCAATCTGACATGCTGGGGAATTCACAGAGTAGGCAGGGAACTGCACAGCCTGGTAAAACCCCAGTCAGGAGAGACAGAGACACATGTATCCACCCGAGACAGGTGAGATGAGGATCTGGGAGTCTAGTGTGGGTGCCCTTGCTGGGCTGTGAGGGGGAATACAGGTGTAGTTGCCCTGAACTATGACAGGCAATATCATATAAACAGTGAAGCTTTTGAAACTGATTTCTCATTAATATTTCCTGCCCTGTGAGTTTTCTCCCAGTGAAAAAAGGTATTTAGAGAGCTCACAAATCCTACCTGCACGTAGATGTCACGAGCCTTCGCAAAGTCACCAAGTCTACTCAACAACTTGTCAGTGCAGGAAGGTCCAAAACGAGGCGTCACTATGGGTTGTACCTTTTGATACTGAAAATATTCAAATTGCATACTTGAGATTGCAAATAAGAATCTGTGCATCAGGGCCAAGAGTGCACTGACCCTCTAGCTTATATGATGATGAAAAAGGAGTGGGCTTTATTTTGTATTGTTTTCTTTTTCTACTGCATCCATTTCTCAGATGAATGAATCTCTATACTGCAATTTTCTGATTTTTATTACAACCATTGTCACAGGAATAGAGAATCAAAGTTTTTTCAATAAGTCATTTTAGTAGACTATAAAGATTTTTCCATAAGCAGCTTCCCTGAAATCACTGAGATTTTAACTGGACTGGAAGAATATATTCATGTCCATTGTCAAAAGGCAGCTATGCATTGGCCAGTAAGGGGTGAATTAGATAATTTAATAGGCTTTTCCCATCTCTGATTTCTATGATTCAGATTGTGCCACTAAGCGTATGTCCACACTGCAATAAAATACCCAGCACACAGTCACTCAGGCTCATGAAGCTTGGGCTGTGGGGATATAAAATAGTAGTGCAGATGTTTGGACTCAGGTCGTGAGGTCTCAGAGCCCGGGCTCCAGCCTGAGCCTGAATGTCTACACTGCAGCTTAAGTCCTGCAAGTGCAAGTCAGCTGACCCAGGCTCTTGGACTTGGTGCCACAGGTTTTTTATCACCGTGTAGACAGGACTTAAGACACAGCTTGAATTAGGGGTTGATGCAGGCTGCAGGTAGTTCCAGGAAGCACTGGACTTCCTGTGCCTTCCTCTTGTTCCAGTTTCTCCACCCTATGCAGGTGCATTGGCTACAATCTGGCTCCTGGCTTCCATAGACAGGAAGATTAGTGAGATGACCAGACATATTAAGGAAGGCATTTGTGACCTATAGTATACAGGAGGTCAGACTATAATATGATCTACTGATCCCTTCTGGCCTTAAACTCTAGGCCTCTAAGATAACTATACTCAACAAAGTAGAATTAGCCGTTAAATTTAAGCATGGCATTTTGGGTTGAAGATTGCCAGCAGAATAGAAAATAGCATAACATTCACAGGGGTCCGACTGGCAAGTGCCAGGCAACTACTGGTCTCTCTGATGGCCCTCACGTGCCAGCCTGTCATTGTGCATGTGACACCACTAGAGAAGAGTGCCAGATGTTTTGGCCTGCAGTCTCTTCAACTCAGCTCCCAGCTGCAGTTTGAAAATCAAGTCACTTATTTAGGTAAGTAAATATGGATTTAGATGCCTAACTTTAGGCATCAAGCTTGAAATGTTGGCAACAAGTGTCATACAAATGAAACCACTGAAAAAAGAAATTTAACAAGGAAAAGCTGTAACATTCCTTGACTATACTAACAATGCCATAAAATATATCTGCAGATTTTCGTTAGAATCTTCTTCACACATGTGACCGAATGTGCTGATCCAAAAAACTAATGTGGAAAAGGATTATTAACTGCAGTGTAAAGTTGTGGCACCATACTGCCGTTACCTTAAAAGGCAACCTTTTTTTTCCTGAGTTAAACAAAGATTTCTCTTCGTAGCATGGTTTATAAACAGTGAAATGATTTATTAGCTTATTTCTTCCTATGACCATAGAATTGTTCTTTGTAGGAAGCTGAGCAGTTTTAAAGAAAATAAGTTATTTTTCAAAGTATATTATTCTGCAGTGCTCTGACCAAACAATATTGAATGCATTGTGTCACACTGACATTTGCCAACTCAAACCCACAGCTCCCAAACAAGTTTGTACAGATTCAGGATTTAATTAGTCATTAAATCTATCTTTACTGATTTGTCACTAGGGTTAACAATTTTATTCATTCAAACTGGATTTTTTTCTTCCAAATCTTCATTTTATTTTCATAGAAAAAAAGGAATGCAAAAGTGAATATAAACAAAGGAGAAATGAATTTTAGCCATTTCATACAGCAAATAGGAAAAAAAGTACATGACAGTACAGAATGTGGGTTATGCTGCTGATAAAAAAGCAACTCTACTTACTTTCTTTTCTAGTAGTTCTTTAACAAACCTGAAGGGGGGAAAAAGTAACCAGTATTATAAATTAAGAAATCTAGGAAAAATATTTACCTTAGTGTTTTATTAAGTGTCTCACATGTGAATCAGTTTTATGTACAAAGTTGAAAACTGTAAGGGTCAGTTTCTGAGCTAGTGTAAATCAGCATGGATCTACTGAAGTCAGTGGAACTACACCAATTTTTACCAGCTGAGAATCCGGCCCTAAATATGCAGAAGTTTTATCACTTGTAGTAATTAACCCCAGACATGTGGTAATTACTCTGTGTTCTCATTGGAAACCAAATACATGTTATACTAAATCAACAGAAAGCATGATTATATGCTATAGAAGCTCTATTAAAAAAAGACATCTTAATTTTGGCTGCACATGAATTTAAATCAGAGCATAGAATCTATTCTATTTTCTAAAATCCTATTTTTAGAACATTGCAATATTTTATGCTTCATTTACAGTAGTTACATATATTGAGATTTAAACTGATAGACTCTCTATCCTTCATTCACTTAAAGTGCCCAGAGGGGTATCCTTTTATTTTCCAGGGAGCATTTATGTAGGTTTTAGAGTATGCAATATTTACATATTTGAAAACACAATGTGGACTTGTTTGTTCCATTCAAAACAAAAGAGTAGAGCACAAGTGGCTCTACAAATATATTTTTTTTTAAAATGAGGTCAGGACATTAGAGATGAGCTAAAGCTAGCCCCCAAATCATACCATGTCCCCACATTTTGGAATGTGGGAGTATTCTGATGGCCTGTGATGCAGGGAGACAAGATTCTAATATTCCTGTAGGTGAGAGGGGTCCTAGGGGCCCACCAGTGGGTGGCAGGGTGGGGGCAGGAAAGGTCCTTGGCGTCTAGAGGTTCACCAGCAACAGAGGTTCTTGCAAATCTTGGACAGTTCAGGGGTTTACACTGAAAACTGAAACCAATCAGTTTCCTCTACTGTAGTTTCAGGTTTAAATACAGGTTTTTTTTAAATCTAGACTTCAGACTTTCCCACCTACTTTCCTCCCAGTCCTGCCCACTTACCACTTTCTCTCCACACTTTGGTACAAGATAAATGCAAGGTATTATATATCGCCTCCTTATATATGATATAAACAGTTCGCTGTAAGTTATTGGAATCTATATGATAAATTATGGGACTATGTGATAAACCACATTTATTTCATTCTTTTGACTTCCTAACCTAACTATGCTCACGAATTTACCTCTAATATTCTAAAATTCTGAGCAGTTTTCAAATAGTGACCATATTTAAAAAAATTAAGTTGAACATGCCAAAAAAGTTTCCTTTTTTAACAGAAAGGAAGAGTTTCTCCCACTTCATGGCTGAAGTCCATGTCACACAAAAGCAAACATTCCAGGCTGGACACAGCAATCTTATCCGTGAGAGTTGGAATTCCTCTTTTCCAAAATTATAGAGCATCCATTCTTATTATAGTCATGATACTGAATCTCAAACACATGACAGGAAAGCTGTTTTAGATAATTCTGATGTTTTAAACAAGTACCAGAACTGAAGGTCCTCTCTATCTAATGCAGCAGTTCTCAACCCGTCGTCCAATTAGCACACAGCTGTGGCCCAGCTCAGCTGGGTGCTCAAGGCTGGCTCGCCTGGCAGGGTCTGGGTTCCTGGCTGCCCAGCGTGGTGGGGCCTGGGCTGCCCCGCTGCCCAGCATGGTGGGGTCGGGGTCAGGGTCAGGTTGGGGCTGCCAGCCCACTCCACGTGGCGGGAGTCCGGGGTTGAGACTGCCGGCCGGCCCCGTGGGGTCGGGGGCCTGGGGAAGCTGCAGGGTTGGGGGTGGCCAGCTGGCCCCATGTGGTGGGGGTCTGGGATCTGGGGCGGGAAGCCCCCCAGCCCCACACAGTGGGGGTCGGGGCCAGGCTGCCACTGACCTACCATTCAGCCCCTGCAGCCCAGGTAACACGGTGTGGGCTGCATATGCAGCTCATAATGATAAATAAGTTGAGAACCACTGCTCTAATGCCTGTAGTGCTGGAGTTGGTACTAAGGAAACCTGGGTGAACAGCCAAGGGAAAAAAACATTAGTACAACACTAATAATCTTTAAACCTTTTTTTAAAAAAAAATACCTCTTCTTTAAATATATGCCATTAAAAAAATCCATGATAACTTGTAGTGGTAACAAGATTTTACTAGCATTCACTTGGGATAACCTACATAAGTAATGTGAGAATTCCAAACTCACTCCATAAAATATTTAGATTGCCGTATGTTACCTTATCCTGTATTCCCAATATGGTCCTGATCCTGCAAACACTTAAGCATTTGTGTGACTACTCATATGAGTAAAATTACACATGTGCTCAAGTACTTGCAGGGTAGTGACCTCACAAAATGGCTCCCAGATCAGCATGCATCCATACACCAATCTAGTGCCCAGTCTAATTCATTGTTGTATCAGGTCCTTCATGTTAAACCTCATCCTTTTCAGAAGAGTCATTAAAAGAAGCATGTGTACTCAGCAACAGAGAGTCCTGTGCCACCTTTAAGACTAACAGATGTATTGGAGCATAAGCTTTCGTGGGTGAATGCCCACTTCGTCGGATGCATGTCACAAATTCATACATGTATACTGTATGGACCAGATTCTTCTCCCATTTACACTGTTGTAAATTAGGAGATATTCCACTGACGCAGATTTTGTTGCATTAGTGGAAAACTCATGTGAGGGGAGAATCATCCTTTTTTATTTTAAAAGGATGAATAAAAATTACTTCCTACACCTTAAAGTTTTAGGCTTAATCATTAACTAACCTTCCTGTCCTTTTTCACTTTTATTAAAATACAATTTCTAAAGATAATACTATCAGTATAATCATTTTACCTTTCTGTTTCCTTGAGAGATTCATCAGTGGTTTCCTTGTATTCTGGAACAATTTCATTGATATCCATGCAAACTTTTCCAACAAATGCTCGCTGACCAAATTTATCTGTGAAATGTATAACAGAATAAAACTCAAAATTAGTTGTTTTCCAAACAAACTGCTAGCAAGACCTGCACTTAAAACCAGAGTAACAAATTCTGGCCCAGATAACTTCATTTAAAAGTGAACAGGGCAATGTTCTTTTCTTCATCTTTAGACTGAGACTTTTTAGCCCAGAAGGAAAATATTTTGAGAAAGTAATGAGCAACAGAGATTTAAACGGACACTCTGAACATTACCCTAGTACTCGCTACTAAAAACATTATAAATAAGGGCTAGATCGTGCTAGTTACACATAGTCCAGAGTGCAAAACTGCTGAAGGAAGAGCACTGGCAGGCAAACTGCCTCCCAGAATTCCCCAACCACAGGGGGAGCATGCATGCCACCACACCCTTTTGTGGCATGCAGCCTGCTCCTTCCTGTGTGCCATCTGACTGCACGGGTCAGTTGGAAGTCAGAGCCCACCTTCCTGTCCCTTTTGTGCAATGCTTAATTTGTAATGAAAGAGATGCTCGGGCTCAAGCAATTAGGTCCTGGGGCTCAAGCAATTTTTTTACATTAATAACTGGTGCAGCAAGCCTAGAGGTGCCAGGGCTAGGAATTGCCAAGCCTAAAGGTGCCAGGGCTCAGCCCCGGCAAAAACTAAGCACTGCTTTTGGGGCACTGTGCATCCATTAGGTATTGGGAAGGGACTGCAATTCTGCCTGGATCTTCCTTGGCCACACCAGTGCTGCACAACCACTGCAGCACACCTCCAAAAGAGCTGGGCAGAATCTAGTCATTAGTGAACACACTGTTCCTGTCTTCATAGGCATGTGGCAATTCTCCAGAGGGCCATATTGTTGGAGGTTAACGTACCCCCCATCCATATTACATATCATTTGAAAGCTTATTTTATGTACATTTAGAAGAGGTATAATGTGGAACTGTCCAGTGGTGCTGTAGGTGAGGTGAAACAATGGTACCCAGAATGAGAGCATGTCATTTTTGTATAGTTCCAGAAACACTGCAGCATGACTACGACTACAGTTTTTCTGTTTAAATTAAACAGCAGATTAAGGTGCTAAAATTATAGGTCAAAGCTACCAAATGACAATACATTAAAAGACCTTTTGGTGTTTTTGCATGGGCAAGCATTGGGTTTTTTGCCAGAAACGATGAAGTTGTTTGGCATCTGCAATATGCAATTTTGCAATATACTAGCACAGTGGTTCTCAACTTATTTATCATTGTGGTCTGCATATGGATCCTGGACTCCCACCGCAGAACTGCACACAGTATTTAAGATGTGGGCATAACATGAATTTATATAGTGGCATTATGATATTTTCTGTCTTATTATCTATCCCTTCCCTAATGGTTCCTAATGTTAGCTTTTTTGACTATTAACTGCACATTGAGCAGATGTTTTCAGAGAACTAATCATAATGATTTCAAGATCTTTCTTCAGTGGTAACAGCTAATTTTGATCCAATTATGTATGTATAGTTGTGATTATGTTTTCCAATGTGCATTACTTTGCATTTATCAACACTTAATTTTATCTGCCATTTTGTTGCCCAGTCACTCAGTGTACTGAGATCCCTTTGTAGTCTACTTTGGATTTAACTATCTTGAGTAATTTTGTATCATCTGCAAATTTTGCCACCTCACTGTTTACCTTTTTTTCCAGATCATTTATGAATATGTTGAGCAGCACTGGTCCCAATACAGACCCCTTGGGGACACCACTATTTACCTCTCTCCATTCTGAAAACTAACTATTTATTCCTATCCTTTTGTTTCTTGTCTTTTAACTAGTTTCTGATCCAGAAAAAGATCTTCCCTCTTATCCCTTGACAGCTTATTTTGCTTAAGAGCCTTTGGTGAGGGACCTTGTCAAAGGCTTTCTGAAAGTCCAAGTACACCGTATCCACTGGATCACCCTTGCCCACGTGTTTTTGACCCTCTCAAAGAATTCTAGTAGATTGGTGAGGCATGATTTTCCCTTTACAAAAGCCATGCTGACTCTTCACCAACAAAGCATGTTTACTGATGTCTGATAATTCTGTTCTTTATTATGATTTCAACTAATTTGCCTAGTACTGAAATTAGGTTTATTTGCCTGTAATTGCCAGGATCACCTCTGGAGCCTTTAAAAAAAAAAAAATTGGCATCACATTAGGGATCCTCCAGTCATCTGGCACAGAAGCCGATTTAAATGATAGGTTACATACTACAGTTAATAGTTATGCAATTTCATATTTGAGTTCTGTAGCGAGGAAGTGTGGCCTTCCTCACAGGCAGAAGTGGAGGGATGCCGCAAGCCACCTGGTGGGTGGAACCAGGAGGGCCACGCCCTGCACGCTAGAAGCAGGGGGGGGACAGGAAGGGGAAATATAAAAGGCCAGCCCAGCAACTCATTCCGGAGGGAGCTGCTGAAGGAGACACGTGCTTCTTCCCCGCTGCTGGAGTTGGAAGCCAGGGAGAACCGCTGCTGCCATGAGAACCAGCTTGAGCTTCCAGAGAGCTCTGTCTCCCCCAATGCTGAGGAGCTGCTATGACTTGGCAGAATATCTTGGGGAGACTGATGGGGAGAATAGGAAGCAGCCCAGGGGAGCCACACTACCATCTGGCTATGGTGATGCTGGAAACACGCTCATCATGTTGTGGGTGGATTCCCTGCTGACCCAGTTGCAGACCATTCTGCCACTGTTAGGGCCCTGGGCTAGGACGCGGTGCAGTTGGGTGGGCCCGCATCCCCCCTGCAGCCCCACCCCTAGGGTTGCAGTACTCCCCCCTCCTTAGCCCACGAGGCCTGCGCTCCTTGGGCATACCTATATGAGCCCCATATACTGTGTTTGGCGCTCACTCCTGCCGGATCCCTGCTTAAGGGTGGGGTGAATAAACTGCTACAGCTCTGCCTGACTGCAGACCAAAGCCCAGCCTGTTTACAGCCCTGCCCTTTTTGAAGGCCGGGGCCCCTTGAAAACCACTAATTGCCCCCTTTTATCCTTTGCTTGGAAAAGACTCTAGCAGATTAAGGAGGAGGTGTGGCCTCCCTCAGAAGCAGAAGCAGAAGCGGAGGGGCAGCCATGCCAGCTTACAAGTTCCTTCAGAACTCTTGGGTAAATACCCAAAAATCTGTTGATGGTGACTTATTACTGTAAAACAATTTGTTCCAAAAAATCCTCTATTGACACCTCAGTCTGGGACAATTTCTCAGATTTGTCACCTAAAAAGAATGGCTCAGGTGTGGGAATCTCCTTCACAGCCTCTGCAGTAAAGACTGATGCAAAGAATTCATTTAGCTTCTCCTCAAAAGCAGTCTTCCTGGAGTGCTTCTTTAGCACCTCGATCATCCAATGGCCCCAATGATTGTTTGGCAGGCTTCCTGCTTCTGCTGTACTTAAAAGTATTTTTGCTGTTTGTTTTTTAATCTTTGCCTAGTTGCTGTTCAAATTCTTTTTTGGCTTGTCTAATTACTCTTTTACACTTGACTTGCCAGAGTTTATGCTCCTTTTTCTATTTCCTCAGTAGAATTTGACTTCCAATTTTTAAAGGATGCCTTTTTGCCTCTAGCTGCCTCTTTTACCCATAGTGGCATTGTTTTGGTCCTCTATTTTTTAATTTAATTCGAGCCTCTATTATGCTGTTTTTAAAAAGGCTTCCATGCAGCTTGCAGGCATTTCACTCTTATGACTGTTCCTTTTAATTTCCATTTAACTAGCTTCCTCATTTTGGTGTAGTTCCCCTTTCTGAAATTAAATGCTATCGTGGAAGGTTTGTTTGGTTCCCCCCCTCCTCAATAAGGATGTTAAATTTAATTATTTTATGGTCACCTGTTACTGAGCCGTTCAGCTACATTCACCTCTGAACCAGATCCTGTGCTCCACGTAGGACTAAATCAAGAATTGCCTTCCCCCTTGAGTGTTCCATGATTATTGCTCCAAGAAGCAGTCTTAATGGGGTCTAGAAACTTTGTCTCTGCATCCCATCTTGAGGTGACATGTGCCCAGCCAATATAAAGTTAGTTGAAATCTCCCTTATTATTGAGTTTTCTATTTTTATAGCCACTCTAATCTCCCAGAGCATTTCACCATCGTTATCCTGGTCAGATGGTCTGCAGTATATTTCTACTACTATATTCCTATTATTCAAGCTTGGGATTTCTAACCATAGAAATTCTATGGTATAATTTGATTCATATAGATCTAATTTGTATCTAATTTAGCAATGGTGGTGGTAATGCTAACAATATACTTTGGGAATTCTACCTCTACAAGGGAATTACAGTATATGAAGACACAAGGGATACAAGCCCCTTAAAAGCATAGAGCAAAGAGAAAAGACCCCCCATAAACTCTGAAAAATGTGTTGTTTGTCAAGAAAATCAAAAGAATGAAAAACCATCAAAAGCCACCAGTGCTGGACAGAATTCTGACAGCAGAAACCAGGAGACATGAATTGTATTGGCAGCTACTGAATGAGTTTTCTAGTTTAGATGCTGCATCACCAAGACTCTGTCACAGGGGCTGCTTTCAGAAATAATAAGCAATGCGTATTTGGCACATGTCAGAATTGAACCCAGGGGGTGGGGGGAAACAGACGCTGAATCTGATCAGAGAGCATCATGTTCATCTGCTTCTATAGCCATCAGAGCAAGCCTGTCCTCCAGCGATTGATCCTGTTGCATTGTTTGTTTGAGGAAAAACAAACTCCATACAATTGAAACAGTTGAGAGAGCAATCTAAGGGAGGCAGCACTTAAAAAATGAGACGATGACATGTTCTGCAGAATATCTGTGGAAGACTTGTTTGCTAAGGATGCAGTTTATCACTCAACGTGCTTTTCTTCCTACTTAAGTAAAATGAATCTTAAAGCAAAATCATCTAATTTACATCAACAATAGTCCTCTTATGGCACTGAATTTATCAGCTAATGGGAGAGATGTACATAAGATCACTGTCTAACTACAAGGTGATTCTTCTGTCTGTGCTGCTACAAAGATATAAAGCCCTACTTCCCTCAGACAACAGTAACTCAGTGAAAACTGCAGAGGAAGACAGCGCCAGACAGGATCTAAGTTTGGATATAAGAAATACCAGGTGACTGGTAGATGCCCTGTGCCTCCATGGAAAAAGTTTCTAAACATGGCATCCAACAAGCAGTCACTTGTAAAATTCCTCTGTGAATATTTAGTTCAAAAATGCACCTGAGAGTGTAGGAGCATACCCAACAAAAACACTTCTCTTTGCTGGAGGCTTTTCCAGTGGTGAAATAGCAAAGTCCATCACCAGTAGAAGTGCTGAAGAAGCCCAAGACTTTTACAGCACTCAACTGGCAGTGGCCACAAGGATGCTTCTGCATACTATATGTGCCAATATGGCTTTTGGGTCTCATGGTGTCAAAGGAACTATAGTGATTATTAGGTCACCTGACATGTTTTATTCCTTCCAGGTCACTACTTTCCAAAAATGGAACACACAGATAACATGTGTATTGAACCAGGCATCATTACCAGCACAACTGACAAGCATCATTTCATACTTGTGCTTGCAATTTGTGACACACTCACTCCTGACTTCTACAACAGACTTCCTGCAGTACACTTCTTTGTCATCCTTATTTGGTATTGGGGGAGGAGGGGAATTGTGTTTAATGTCAAAATGAAAGGAGCTCACTGCTTCTGAGATCTTGCCAAATCGGGACAGAGTGATGGACAAGCTGCAATTGCTGTAGTAAGGAAGTAGGTAGTAGTGCTGTAGGACAAGAGCGAGAAAGAAAAGAAGATCCACAGTGACCTGAAATGCTAGCGCTTCAATCGAGCTGCTGAAAAGGACAAACTCCCACCACATGAGGACAAACACGTATCTTGGCAAACAAAGATTTGGATGTCTTTGCACACAGGCAAACCAGATATTGGGTCACCAACACAACATGAATAGAAAAAATTTAGACTGAACTACTTTCTATATTCTTCTAAGGCCCAATGATCTTTGAGCCTCTATAAGACCTTATTTGTGCCTTTACCAGTGGGGGCTGCTGCACAGTCAGCCACGTCTGGAGTCCGAACAATCCTCCCTGCATAGAGCTGTGTACTTGCCATGTCCATGAAGACTGTGGTAACGCACACGCTCTCGCAAGAGATCACAGTGATGAACAAGATTATGATAATGATGACTAGAAATGTACAGGTAAGTGATACCTGTACATTATTGACCAAATTGGTGCTATCTGCTATTCATCTATGATGTCACTTAGAAATGAATAGCCAAATATGGTAGCCACAGTTCTGGTTCTGTCCTTTTGTATTTGCAGTTTGTTTTTGCAGCCATGATCACTATTAAAGCAGTTCTTGTTCAAATCCCAACCCAAATGGCCCTTCCTAACCGTTCAAAAACTCACTACTTCCATGAGGCAGATGGCACTCTAAGGGCTTGTTGACACTTGAAATGCTATAGCGACACAGCTGCACCACTATAGTGCCTCACTGTAGACACTACCTACGCTGAGGGGAGAACCCTTCCCCTCAAAGTAATCCATCTCCCGAAGAGGCGGTAGCTAGGTTGACAGAATTCTTCCATCAACCTCACGCCATCTACACTCGGGGTTAGATCAGCTTACCTATGCCACTCAGGGGTGTGGATTTTTCATGTCCCTGACTGACATAGTAAAGTCAACTTAATTGTCTAGTGTAGATCAGGCCTAAGTCAGCAAAATCATCTTGGTCTCCCATTGGTCTGTTCCCATTCAGTCTTTGCCTATTTAGACCCTCATTCAGGAAAGGATTTAAGCATGTGCTTAAGTCTATCCCTATTCAGCATAGTGCTTAATCACAGACTAAACTTCAGGCAGCTGCTTAAGTCCCATTGAAGTCAATGGAAGGTAATCATGTGCCTAAATATAGCATGTGCTTAAATGCTGTGTTGAATAGGAATGGCCTGCTCTCTGCTGAATTAGGACCTTAGATTGTAAACTCTTAGAAGCAGAAGACATGTCTCTGTGTGACTTGTACAGTACTGAAAACAGTGTTGGTGCTTATCAAGTAATAATGAGATCAAGCAGACCCTCTACATCTTTGTCATTTTGAGCACTTATGTTTTCACAGAGTAATACCATACAAATCCTATATTTGGTTTAATATAGAGTTTGTCTATGACATAAAAGTAAATGCAGCATCTGCATCCTCAAACATGGCAGTATTTAATCATCTCTGAAAAGGTCAGCCATGACAGGGCACAAGGCTTGTTACACACTGTGAGGCATTTTCAATTAAAAACGAAATGAGAGAATTCTTAACTGGGTTGAAGTCTATGGCCCCTTTATAATATATAGGCATAAGGTCCACGGGCACTCAAACTTAAGATACCACACAATAATGAATAATCAGATAAAATTGTGGGCCACATGAGTCTCTTGTGTTACTCCACTGGCTTATCTTTTATATTGCTCCTGAAAAATTATATTAGTCTTTTAATTAAGGCCAAATAGCAATGAGAAAAGGAAGTTGGACAGTCATATGCATAAATGAGCATACAATTGTGTGCTGATATTTGCATGTGCAATTACCATAAATGCACATATAGACAGGGCATTTGTACAGATGATTCGCCAGTTAGGGCCTGATTCAGCAAAGTTTAACATATATGGTTTCACACTTGCCAACAAAAATTTTGTTGGCTCACATTATTTTGTTCTATTTGCATGAGATCTCTACTATATAATTAGGAAAGGAGATCTATGCAAAATTAATAGTAATGGCCTCTTTCAGTCATTCCACTAGGAGCATGTTGGTCATGGTCACAAAAGTTCACATGCTTAAAGTTCCTAGGTGTTGAGGAAAGAGCCAAGAGTATATTCCACATTTATTGCATGCAAACTAGATCAGAACAAATCCATCATACTGTCTAAAGTGTTCAATTCAAATAAGTCATTACTCTGATTTGTTTTTATTTGGAACTGAGGCCGAATTTGGTCCTTATGAAAACAGAAAACTAACAACATCAGAGGACTTGCACATGTCAGTTGAACATTTGGGACGCCATAATTGTATGGGCAAGTGCTATACAAAAGTGTCCGCCCAAAGACATTTCAGTCCTGGGTCTTAAAAGCACAGAGAATCAATTCTACATTTGATTTGCACATTCATATAACATTTGCAAGTGCAAACCAGCTTAGATTTTGTTTGCGTGTGCAAAAGCATGGATGTAACTTCAGAAGTTAGCTTGAGGGCACACTGAAAATGTGCTTCTGTGCAATAAGCCACCTCACAGAAAAAATATGAAAACATTACAAAAACAAGGAAGTAAAGTATTTATTCACAGACCATTGGAATCTGTAAACTTTTATTCCAATAACTGCAGTCAGGCAAATACTTCTCCTTTGCCCCAGCTGAGGTTTCCCCAACAGTAGGCATCCTGGTGGCAGACATATGCCCTGACCAGTATCTCCTGTGCATGGGAGCTCCTTAGCCAAGAGGCACGCGTCTCCACTGGACTCTCCAGGCCAGTTCACCAAGAGACAAAACTGACCATTCTCACTTGGTGGAGGAGGGAGTGAAGATCCCAACAAACCCCTCTCCCTGCTAAGCCAAGGGAAAGAATCAAGATCCTGCCTCAACTCCCCTTCCCCAGGCCTAGTTGCAGGGGAGGGGAAAATCCCCAGCCATTCAAAAATAATGAGTACAGCCTAAGCCCCCCCCACGAGATTGGGTTAAAAATATCGACTAGCTTTAAAACAATGAGACTTAAATAAACAAATATTGGTTTCTTTTTTTCTGTCTTTTGGTTTCTTAGCCTTCAGGGTTCATTTGCTTCAAGTTTTCTCCACAAGCAGCAGGGCTAGAAACGTACTTTTTTAAAAATGAAAGCTGAGATTCTCACAAAATTCACTTGATTCCAGAAACTGAGGATTTAATAAAGATTCCAAGTTATCCCAAGCCTTGCAATAACATAGTGGGAGTTGACAACATTGCTTTCTCTGTGGATTGGAGAGAAGATCTTGGTGCAGCTCCCTCTCTCCAGACTTGAGGGGTGAGTGAAGATCTTGGCACTGACCTCACCCCAATGCCTGAGTGGGGTAGGGAGCAAAGATATTGACCATTTCTCCTGCCATTTAGGCATAGGATCTTCCAGTACCCAAGCAGCAACAGAGCAGGAGCAGCAGAGCCACATAAAGAGATGAGTGATGTAACGTACCAGTTGATTTGGGAGCTGCAATTGTTTATTGGGACATGGGGTGGCAGTGGTGGTAATTGATGGAGCAGAGGGTAAATGGGAGTGAATGAGTGGGAGAGGGATTGAACAATTGAGTGAGGATAGTTGGATTTCAGGGAGAGAATAAATAGAGGGGCAGATTCTCAACTGGTGTAAATCAGCATAGCTCCATTGATTTGAACAAACTATTCAGATGAAATCTCTCTTAAGACTCACTCTTATGGTCTTACCTATAATTTCAGCAAGTAGCAAAGAAGCAGCTGTGTGAATTGTTGCAAAGTAGCATGCTGTAGTCGTGCCATTCTTTAGCGTTCTTCTCTATAAAAAGAATTCAGTTTTGAGCTGTATGAAAAGTGTGTCACATTGCCAAAATGACAAAACATGCAATCAGTGGTTTTAATCTGCAAGATGGCTCTAGGGAATTTTGCACTGACTGGGACTGAAAGAGAAGCGAAGAGTGAAAAAATACTAATTTTATAGCAGATTCTTAATGTATTTAATGGAAAAACTATGGCAGATATGGGCTGATATACAGTAACTCCTCACTTAAAGTCATCCCGGTTAACGTTGTTACGTTGCTGATCAATTAGGGAACATGCTCGTTTAAAGTTTAAAGCTCGCAATAATCCCTTATAACGCTGTTTGGCAGCCGCCTGCTTTGTCCACCGTTTGCAGAAAGAGCAGCCCATTGCAGCTGGTTGGTGGGGGCTTGGAACCAGGGTGGACCGGCAGCCCCCCATCAGCTCCCCGCGCCCCTAAGTTCCCTGTGTGGCAGCTGCCCAGCAGGCTATCAATTGCCAGTAGTTCAACTGTCCCTCCCCCCACTGCCATGTGCTGCTCCTGCCCTCTGCCTTGCAGCTGCTCCCAGGAGCCTCCTACTTGCTGTGCTGAGGGAGGAACGAGGTGGGCTAATGTCAGGGTGTCCCCCGCCCCCCGCTTACCCTATCTCCATAGAGCTGGGGGGTGGGGGAGAGTGACATGACTGGGCTCAAGACGGAGGCAGCAGCTGCTGTCTCAACTTGCTGATCTACTTAAAAAGGCAATGTACTTAGAGTGGGGTCAGCGTACTTAAAGGGGCAATGCGCATCTCTCACACACACATGGTGTGTGTCTCTGTCTCTTGTCTGCCATGCTGTTTCCCCTCCCTCCATTTGTGCTGCCTTGTAGAGTGTGAGGCTACATTAACAACGTGTTAAACCTTGAGGGCTCAGCCGAGTGCTAGTTCATCATTCAGCACTAAGGCATTCCCTGGGAAATATTCCACCCTCTGACTCCACCATCTCAGCCAATCATCATTGCTGTGTACAGTATTAAATTGTTTGTTTAAAACGTATACTGTGTATATATATATATATAGTCTTTTGTCTGGTGAAAAAAAGTTCCGTGGAATCTACCCCCCTCTCCCCATTTACATTAATTCTTATGGGGAAATTGGATTCGCTTAACATTGTTTCACTTAAAGTTGCATTTTTCAGGAACATAACTACAATGTTCAGAGAGGAGTTACTGTACTTAATAGTTCAAAACTGTAACAGTTCCCTTCATCCCACAACGTATCCTTTGGATTCATGTCCTCCCTCGATGGTGAACTGATAGGAGACTATCAACATCTGCTTCAGGGAGTAGGCATCTCTTAAGGAAGCTGCTGTGAGGTCTCTACTCAAGAAACCAAGGTGTGATGCTGACAATACACTATCTAATCTTTCAGATTTGAGTAAGATCATATAGAAACTGTATTTAGGTATAATCTCCCTGAAGTAGATGTTGATAGTCTTCTTTGGCTTGGGGTTGTGCAGCAGTCACTGGCTTTACTTGTGTTGATTGCATTTTTAAATGTTGGCAAAGGTGCCTGGAGCCTAGGATAGGTGATAGGCAGCAATTAACATATATATCATGTGATGAAATGAGTTCTGATGTAAGCAACTAGGCAAAAAGACATATATTCATTATGGATAATTTGAATTAATTTATACTTGGTCTTAACTGAGAATTTCCCAACTATTTAATATTCTTTTTATGGACTTTTACAACTGTTGAAGTAGGAACTATTTTGGTGATGCACATTATATAAAGGGCTATCTAAATTCTTAGATTGGTCCCCATCACATAAGTATCTTAATTTTTAGCAAAGTACACATTTAATGTAAAATACATTCTGTAATAAAGGTGATGCATCATAGATTAAATGCTGTTTCACTGAGAAACACATATTGATAAAGTCCATAAATCTGGTATTTTCAAGTAACAGACTTGTGCAATAAGTTACTTTTTCATTCATATTACAATTTCAGTGGAACTACATCGTAGTTATTATACTTGTACTAGATTGCTAAACTTGAACCAGCTTTGCAAACCACTAAAACCCTAAAAAAGAGAAGCTAAGAATACCTTGAACTTTGCTGGGTTCACACAGACCTAATCACACTCCTAGACATCAGAATTAGAAAGATAATCTTGGTTTACAATCTTGAACAATGACAATATTCCCAATTTATTTAGTTCCTATTTTTCATAATAAATTTTAATATAGTTCCTTAATTTTTTTTATTTGTACTGTCAGCTTCTGAAAGCTGATATAGTTCATTAATGTGCACTTTACCTTATAATAGTACGCAGAAGACATTTGCTGTACTTACTACAACTCTGGTGTATACTTCTTCAGCAAAATCATTATCTTTGTATTTGGCTTCTGTTGGAAATGTATATGTGTTTAACCATTCCAAAAGAGGTAGGTCTACTCTTGTTCCAGCAAATGCATACTGAGGTGCATGGATATGTGTATCAACCATTCCTGGCATGAAGAATTCACTGTTTAAAAAAAAAATCATAGTAGTTTGGATTTTTAAATAATTGCTCTTAAAGAATAACTTATGTTTTTGTTTTGTACAACATGCTTGTGTGATGGCCCCCAGCATGAGTGGTCTGCGGGGTTTGAACCCCTGATCTTCAACATCCAAAGTACAGACTTCTACTAAGGAAGTACATACTTTTACTTTGTGCAGCATTAGGCACTCTAGGACACTGCCTTGTGCTGAGGTGGCTCTATGTTTTTTGCCGCCCCAAGCAAGACAGTCAGGCAGCCTTCGGTGGCATGCCTGCGGGAGGTCCACTGGTAACGCAGATTCGGCGGCATGCCTGCGGGAGGTCCACGGGTCCCGCGCCTTCGGCGTACCCGCTGCCGATACCGCGGGACCAGCGGGCCTCCCGCAGGCATGCCGCCAAAGGCCCCCTGACTGCCACCCTCATGGCAACCAGCAGGCCGCCCCCCACGGCTTGCCGCCCCAGGCACACGCTTGCTGCGCTGGTGCCTGGAGCCGCCCCTGGCCTTGTGTCACCACAACTACCCCTCTGAGTGGACTTCCAGCACCAGAAGCCCTGGGTCATGGGCTCCATCAGGAATTAAAAGTAAATATGATGTCAAATATTTTTAAAATAGTAGAAAATAATAATTTTTCCCTCTTGTAGTATCACAAAACTTTTATTCTCATACTCTGAAGTTATTTTCTTGGAAACTAATTTCTATGGCTATAAATATTTCTTCCAAATGTGATGAGATCTCTAAAAAATTGCATTTGGCAATGAAGCTGAGTGAATCGTCCATAATAATGTATTTGCTGAATTTTTTCTGATTATGAAATATCATAAACCATGAATTCTGACTTTTGTTCAAAATTATTCACAAATTTCTTCATGAATTTTCCTATATGAATTTTGTGCATTGCTAATTAAGAACATTTTATATTCAAACTTTTGAAATTTGCTCTGTGTTAATTTGTTCCATAAGTCACATGCTACAGTTTCTGCCCCGATTGGGTGACATATGTAACTAACCTACACAGCATGTATTTTGAATATTACAATTAAGTATACAACTCAAAATTCACATTTGCCAAATATTCAAGCATTTTTGTTTCAAATTTGTTTTTCATTACTATTTTGATAATAAATATTGACCATTTGAATGTTCTCAAAGCACAAACGCAAGAATTGCAAGTATGGTTGAATCAAAATTCATTTTTGAATTTGGATGAATATTGGCAGAATTTTGTTTGTATGTGTTATTTGCTCAACTGTTCAATAGTGCGAAATGTACAAATGTGTCATATTTTGAAATCTATACCTCAGTCTTATCAGACAGGTAGCTAACGCAAACAGACATCATGCTAACTGACAGCTGAGCCAGAATTTTAAAGTGAAGTGCTACCCCCACTTATTAACTCTGCTGTGTTTTCCACCAGGATCAACTGGCACAGCCTGCTGCCAACAAAATGGACAACAGAATGTAAATTTACACTACTAAAAAAGATAGAGAATATTGTTTACAGTTATGCAAAAAGCATAGGTTATTTGTCAAGCCTAAATATGGCTTTACAATCTGAGAGTTATGAATCAGTCACCACAATTCACTCATTGCTAAACTCCCAATTCAAGGAATCACAAAAGCGTATTCACTGCCCACATTTAGGGCCCAATCCAAAATGCCTTGCATAGGCAAAACCACAAAAGACAGAATGGAGTCTGGATCCATAAGTGCAAATACATATGTAATACTTCAGCCATCCAGGGAACAAATTGAAACCAAAATGACTAAATGAACTTAAATACAATACCTACTGACTACTAAGCTCTCTTATATCAGATGCTTTGAAGCCCCACTTCTTAGCTAGTTGCTCTTGCTGATCTGCTTGCTCCAAAAACACAATCTAAAGGAGAAAAACAAAATAGTTAAATGTTTTAATATTGCATTTAAATATATACACAACATTAACATCACATGATGACAAAACAGTAATCATTTTACAACATCTGATTTTAAGTGCATATTTCTTTACAGCAGGAATGGACTTGTATTAAAACATCTGTTCTACCTGATTTCCCAGGTCTGACTTTGAAATGCCTACTCATAGTCCACTAAGCAAACCAACCCACCTTGTAGCTGCAACTTCTTATGGGAAGTGAATCCAGGCACTATCTACACTCAATAGCAAGTCCATCACTATGTGATTGGCATAATTCCAGCATCCACCTTCACACTTCATAACAGCTGGTGTACAACAATTCTGCTAGTAGTAGTGGGTTTCTCAGCTTACAGCTCTACGCAGGGCCAGCTCTAGGCACCAGCATTCCAATCATGTGCTTGGGGCGGCCCTTTTCAAGGGGCAGCACTCCGGGCCCTTTTTTTTTCCTTCGGCGGCGGCACTCCACCCCCCCTCCCCTCCCTTTTTTTCTTTTTTGCTTGGGGTGGCAAAAAACCTGGAGCCGGCCCTGGCTCTATAGATCCGTTTTAGCGCCTGCACTGTTCAATCTCTATATCAGCAACACTGCAGTCATATCATCCTGTAAATTCATCTATGCAGATGATATTGTGCTAGCAACGCAAGCATCCTCTCTGAAGGCCGCAGAGAAAGTTATGAAAAATGACTTCCAGATGCTTCAGACGTATCTCAAAGCTTGGCAACTGAAACCCTTTGAAAATACTCATCTCTGCCTTCCACTTGAACAGCCACGAGGCCAAAGTGCCACTGAAAGTGGACTTCTGTGGTCTGCCTTTATTGCATGACCACAATCCATGGTACCTTGGAGTTACCCTCGATCGGATGCCGAGCTATTGCCAATACCTTGACACCACCAAAAAGAAGGGTTAACATCATTCAGAAGCTTGCTGACACATCCTGGGGATGTGATGCCTGTGTGGGATGGTGCTAAATTGGTGTGGCCATACTGAATGAATGGTGTGAGCATAACTTGGCATGACTTAAACATGGGTGAATGGCTGCAGAGGATCCTGGGAGCAGGTTCCCTTTAGGCAGAAGCATATTTGATAAAGAACTAGCAAAGTGTGCATGTATGATCAATATTGAACCTATTGGTCAGCAAACATGAGCACGTGCAAAAGTAAATATCACATGCATAAAGTTCCAGCATGGAGCACAGGTCGACCTGGTTGTAATGACCTTATAAAGAACCAGAGTGAATGATTGATAAGTGAGTAAGCGTGGGGTGAGCTTCGTTTGGTACCACCCTCCCCAGCCCTTTCTAAAACACTAATTAGGTAAAATTAGTAACAATACGCCCACTGGGCATGCTTTTAAGACATGTGACTCCTTTGAGGAAAAAGAGTATAAGAATCAAGCAAAGTAAATTACTGTGGTTGGGATTCCTTAATTGACGGTTGAAGAAGCAATACTGCCAGACAGAGTAGCCAAAACTCTGCTCCGTGGGCTCGACTAGGACTGTGAACCAGAGGGGTCTCAAGGCAACGAAGGCCTTGCCTCAGGGGAATCTGAGACAGACCAGAGGGCTGAGAAGAACAAACCAGGAAGGAAGAAGCCATCTATGAAATTGGTAACCACCTTCTCTGCTTGCCAAGCAGGAACTGTGTGAGGCTAGCACAGGGCCTGGTTCTGTGTGTTTGTGAAAGAGAGACTCGTTAAGAGGACTGTATAGCTCTTAATGTCTAACATAGGAGTTATGTACTCAATATAACCCTTTACCGCTTGTGTAATTTCTTCTCAATAAAATGCTGTGTATTGAAGATAATTACTGTGGACCTTTTTCACTGGTATGACAGTAATCTGCTCCACCGGGAGCCAGTAAAGATCCATTTCAGGGGTAGTAGCACCCCCTATTGTCAACAGCATGCACACTTCGAATGTCAATACAAGCTCTTGTTTTGTCACCAGTGGAGTACTGCGCACTAGTTTGGTGCAGCAGCTTCCCCACCATTCTCGTTGATTCTGCTTCCCTGTAGGAAGGGGCCTGCACTCAACTGCATTCAGACAATGCATGGAAGGTGTGGATATTTCTTCCACAAATACAAAATCCAAGAACCACCAAATTGTAACTGTGGTGAAATACAAACCGTGCAACACATCACAGACAACTGCCTTATTCACACTTACAGTGGTGGTACAAAGGGGATTCACCTAGCTACCCCAAAAGCATTAGAATGGCTTTCAAATCTCAAAATACAATTATAATCCCAGCCCATTGCTCTTCAAATGCCATACGAAAGAAGAGGCAGCTCTATGGTGGCCTTACTGGAACTCAAATTTACAGTATCCAGTAACATAAGGGTCAAAAGAATTGCCTAACATAAATATAAGGGAATAAGATATAATGCTAACGCAACTTTATACAGGCATAATTGCATCAACACTAGGGGGCTGTACAATATTAACTATTCTAATTTCTAAACATATATAGTTATAGTGGTACAAAAACTGTACATTGATCAGTCCTTAGACAAGATTTAACAACCGATGTAAACACACATAAGATGGAGCAGGGAAAGGGAGGACAAGGACAACAAAACAGCAAAAAACCCACCCATGGTTTAACATGGGCCAGCTAGGTACCTGGATACATGGTTATTATAAGTTAGTTTTATTTAATGAAAAGATATAAATAAGGGTCTCCCTGGAGAAAATCTAAGAATTTTTAAACGATAACTAAGATTTTAACTGAAAAAGCTGATTTTTTTTTCAGAATCCTGCATATTTTTGAATAGTGTGTGATTGCAGATTTTTCACTAAGTTCCTCTGGAACCTTAGGACACTACAATAAAATAAATATTTAACAACAATCAGAAAAGTGTAATAATCCATTGACACTTCACATAAGACAACATCTCTCTCTCTTTTTTGAAAGCATGTTTGGTGTGTTCAGTCAGTTCAATCAGATGAACATCTGCAGGTGTTTTATAGTCCAGACCTACTGAAATTTCTGATGAGCAATAAAGAAAATGTCACAGAGATACTGAAGTAAAAATGGATGGGGAATGACTAATGCTAGCTGCTGAACAAAGTAAGTAAGAGACAAACATGAACTACCAGATGGCAAATGCTGGAAACAGACTTGTTGCCATGGAATGGGAGTGGGTATTTTATTCATAGCAAACCATTACTCAAGATGTTTTGAAATGATTCAGTTCTGGAACAACAGACAGCTTTACTGTAATCAGTCATGTAGAATTCATCCTAGCAGAAATATACAGTCCCTAAAGACAGAAAAATTAGGCAATAACATAGGGCTGCGTGAAAGGTTAGTCTAGAACCATGAATGAAATTAAAGCAGAGTAAGGGTGGGTTCTAGTACTTGAAAATCTACCTAGGTCAATGAACATTCATAAACGTGGACTCATGCTGTTCACACAAACGTAGGTTCCCCACAAGGCATCACCTACACAGCCATCAAGTATCTTTGTTTTTGAGTTTTATGTGCCTGTGTATAACAACTGACACCTAATTAATAATGGTCGCTGGGTCATATTTTTCATTACTGTGCAGTCATTGCATGTGCAGTCATTGACATCAATGGAAAGTGGATGCAAAATGCTGCCATATCAAAATGGTAATGTACTGCACTCTTCTTGCACTGGTGCAAACAATTACACTGGAAAATCAGGGCCTCTGTGTCTGCGAAAGAACTAGAGATCAACCAGGGACTTTATGATGCAAGATAATTTTTTAATTACTTCCTAACAGTTCAAATAGGTGAATGCACCATGGAAATTAATTCAAACTTATTTTCAAAGGAATCAGATAAAATCCTTTTTCCCCACCCAAGTACAGTTACATGATCTGGAACTAGTTCTCCCATATGGCCAGGGTGGATTGGTTGTACCAATGACAGAATGCTAAACGGGGACTGGTGCCCAGTTTCAATCTAGTGCACTGTAATAGAAAGAAATAGAATTTTCAGATTAACCTAGATACCAATGGTACTTCTGATCGGTACCAAGAAGAGATTGCCAGTACTCGTGAGTACCATTTGTCTTTCTGAAGTTATTAAAAACATAGAATGAGTTATAACAATTCTGTATAATTCAAAACAGAATTGAAGTTCTCCACATCAATCACTCACCCATAATTCCTGGTAGCCTAAAGCATTTGGGACTCAACTTTTGCAGTGTGGGAAACTAAGAGAGAAAATTGCTTTACAGGTTTGTTTATAGGTGAGGCTCTTATTTCATGGGAGCAATACGTTGAAATCGCACACTCCTACCTTTTTCACTACCTACTACTTCATATGTAAATACAAATCAGAATAGAAACAAGCCCAAACTTCCATTTGATTATACTGAAGTACAGTAGTAACTGACTCTTCACTGCTGAATAGAGGTGGTAAGTCATTTATGTATCTTTTTTTCCTCCTTAGAGAATAAACCTTTCTAAATAAGCTATGTCACCAATCAGAAATGAATTTAAACATGATTTATTTCAGCTCATAACTAGTTTGAAGTTTGCAGTCACGTTCCAATGCATTTCAGTATGGTCATTAGTATTTTTATTTATTTATTTATTTATGTATATAGCAACCAAAACCAGGCTTGGCACTTCACGGATGAGGTTGCAAATCTGAGGTCCCAATCCTGCAAAGATTTGAATCCCACAGAAGTCAATTAGGACAATTCACATGCTTAAAGTTAAACATGTGTGTAAGTCTTTGCAAGATTGGAGCCTAACTTTAGACAGAAAGGGACAAACCAGTATAACGTACAGAAGAGGTGGGATGGGGAAAAGGTCAACAGCAATAAGATCACATGGTTATTCAACCGAGGCAAGTTCATATCTAATGGTTTAATTAAATTACTATCAATTTATGGTGATATTTACAGAATCTGTTTAACCTCAACCAGGCTAAATAAGCTTCATCTTGGCAGATGCACTTTGCACCAAATGTCATTATCCCATCTTTATAT